GACCCGAGAGTAGGCATCGTTCTGCTTTGAACAGCAAGGATCGCTAAAGTCATGGACAGGAAGGCCATCCACTTGTAATGTGGACCTGTGGACCTCAGTTGCGTGATAGTAACCCCCTCGTCCCCGGCATAGGCATCAAAAAAAAATTAATAAGCATCAAAAAGAAAAATAATAGGGATCAATAAAAAAAATAATAGGCATCAAAAAAAAAAATAAGCCATCCGGCCCACCTGCGTGGTCCTCTGGTCCCGTGGTCCTCTGGTCCTCTGGTCCCGTGGTCCTCTGGTCCCGTGGTCCTCTGGTCCCGTGGTCCTCTGGTCCCGTGGTCCCCTGGTCTTGTGGTCCCCTGGTCCTCTGGTCCTCTGGTCTGCTTGTCTGTCCGCCTGGTCCTGCGGGTCCTATGCGAAAAAATAAATAATTAAATTAAACAAATAAGTAAAAATCAGCAAATATAAATATATATTATATACACACGATAGTGAAGGTCAACGTGTGTGTGGATATATATGTATGTATGTACGTGCATATATATATATACATATTGCATAATACACATTACATTACACATTACCTGTTATATACTATACATTATACATTATACATTATACATTATACATTATACATTATACATTATATATTATATATTATACATTATATATTCTATATTATATATTATATATAAAATTTTATATATTATATATTATGTATTATGTATTATGTATTATGTATTATGTATTACGTATTCTGTATTATGTATCATGTATTATGTATTATGTATTAATTATAATTATGTATTATGAATTCTATATTATGTTTATGTTTAATGTACTATGTATATGAATTATTATTATATTATTATGTAATACTGTATTATTGTTGTATATTATGTATTATGTATAATATATTTTATTATGTCGTATGTACTATGTATTTTGTGTTATAATATTATTATTTATATTATATATTATATATTATATTATCTATTATATATATATATTTACAATTTATTATATATACATATACATATTATATTATATATTATTTTTATATTGAACATTATACCATGTGTATTATATATATACACTATACTTTTATATGTATATACATATATATATATCATTGAAATTTTTGTATTTATATTTTCATATTGTCGTACATTATGATATGTGTATGTGATAAATAAGTACATATAAATATGAATAAATATAAATAAATAAATAAATAAATATATATATATATATATATATATTTATATCGCATATTGTATATTATATGTCATATATTGCATATCATATATTGTAGATTGTATATTATATACTGCATATAATGCATAATATAAAGTAAATAATATATAAAATATACTGTATACATAATATACAATATATAAAATATATAATATTATTTATTATTAATTAGTTTATTATTTATTATTCACTATATAGTATATTTTATATATTATGTAGTATGTATTATATATTGTTCTTTGAAGCCATTGGAATGCAAAGAAAATGGAAGTTTTTTTGCTTAAAACATGTAGAAGTAGAGTTTTTCCGATGGAAACATAGAGATAATAGAGGATTTCTCATGAAAACGTGAAGACAGTAGACGTTTTCTTGTGGGAGTATGAAGAAATAGAGGTTTTTCCATTGAAAGATCGAGAAACTACAAGGTTTTCCAACCACTACCACCACTTCTACGCATCGTGCGAACATTGTTTGCAAATGGGGGGAGCTGCGCCCCCCCCAACCCCCCCGCTGTTTTTTTTAAGCTGTGCAAAGCGTGCTGCAAAGCCAAGTGGGGGGGTGTGGGGGGGGGGGCTGCGCCAACCCCAACCCCGCCGCGTTTTTATCAAGCTGTGCCACTGCAAAGCGTGCTTTATGAATCTTGTTGAAGCCATTGGGATACTAAAAAGTTTAAGTTTTTCTTAAAATACATGCAAATAGAGGTTTTCCGATGCGATGGAAACATAGAGATAGAGGTTTCCTATGAAAACGTGAAGAAAATAGAGGTTTTCTTCTGGGAATATGAAGAAATAGAGGTTTTCCTATTAAAAGATCGAGAAAATAAAAGGTTTTCCAACCACTACCACCACCCACTACTACCCATCGTGCGAGCATTGTGTTTGCAAATGGGGGGGGGGGCTGCGCCCCCCCCCCCCCCCTACCCCCCCCCCCCCCAAACCCCCCCCCCCCGAACCCCCCCCCCCCCCCCAACCCCCCCCCCCCCCAACCCCCCCCCCCCGGCTGTATTCCAAGAGGAAAATGGGTTATTTTTTTTTTTGATGCTTATTTATTTTTTTTTTGATCCCTTGGGGTTATTTTTTTTTTGATGCTTATTTATTTATTTTTTGATCCTTCACCCCTCGTCCCCTCGTCCCCCCCTCCCTCCCCAAACAACTCATAGCCGGAGTACTTCGGTCATAAGGGCCCTTGACGGCTGGAGGCTGTAGGTTTGAGAGCTCCAGCTCCAGACCAGGACCTTTGAAGGTCTGAAGCCTTGAAGCTTTGAGGGCCTTAACCAAGGCCCGAACTTGGAGGCTTTACAGTAGATGATAAAGAGCTTCGGGCTACGGCCTTGACCGGCCCTTTGAAGGTCTGAAACCTCAAGCCTTAAGTTCTTCATTAGCTTTCCATCCTTCCGAGGCCTGGCACTAATTATTCAGGTTTTACCTTTTACTTTTTCAACGGAGTTTTTGTTGGATTCTGGGCTGTCGTGGAAAGCCACCAGAACCTTATACTAATCGGAAGTGCGCATTAGGTTGTTTCAAGGATGCGGGTCTTCGATGCCATGGCATTGACGGGAGATGACCGCTTCAGTCTGTCGCTCAGGCCGATAGTCAACATTGTCAAACTCCAGACGCCAAGCGCTCACCTTAGCTTGGTGAGTTGGAAAGCTTGTGATTGAGGCAAAAGTCCCTAAGGCGACCCGCCAAGAAATGGGTCAAGCTCAAAGGTTTCTGCCAAGGAGTTTGCCCTGGAAAAATCTCATGAGTTGCAAAGGACCTGAAGTTCATGCATTCCACACTGCTTGCCGCTTCGAAGGAAGTGGCTCAGAAGAGCCAGAGACAGGCCAGTGACAGGGGGTAAGCTGGTAAGAGACGATGGGCGAGAGGCATGCGTGGCTGTCAGTCTCAACCAATTCAGTTCCATGTTTCTAGGCCGATTTCGAAGAGATCAAGCAGGCGATGGTAAGACCCCCGATAACTCCAATGAGTTCGCAGGCCAGGCTCGGTCTTCAGCAGATCAGCACAACACAGCACAACTGGCGACTGGTGCAGGCTGAACGCCGAGGCCAGCTCTTTTCCCGCTGTCCCACTGATGGTGCTGTGGCCAAAGTCGCCACGTTGGGGCTGCCAAAACTGATCAGGGGATTGGTGCGAGACGACCAATGCCTGGACGTTTTCAGTGGAGGCGAGCTGGATTTCACGGAGTGTAGGCTGAACAGCGTTGCTGCATAAGGTCTCTGAGCTGGCCACCTTCTCCGGCTGCCAGCCTGCACCTGAGTGAATCGCTCATGGCCAGGTACTCTGACATTGACGTCAGCATGCGCAGAGCAAATGCCCAAGGCTAGAGTTCAACGACTCTCACATGCGGCTGATGGCCTCCGACCAGCAATGCCGACATGTTTCGTCGGTAGTCCAGGCACTGGCGTAAATACTGCAGTGTGGCAAGTGGAGAACGCGATTTGTGAAGAGCCTACTTCCGAAGTGAGCCTTCTTTGTTCCAGCTCGGTGGAGCAGGACATTACATTTGGGAATTCACATGTGCTAACTCCAACACACATTGTCTCGCTTCGCCCTCCCACCAAACTAAGCCCAGAGTCATCAACCCCAACACCGAAGGACTGACATGTGCTGTTCGAACATTCAAGTCAATGGGCCTGCGAGTTGTCCGCAAGACTCCGCAAGCCAGAGTGCACGCTGCCCCGGTCGGATCTCGGTGTACGGCTCAGTCAGGGAGCCGAATGTAGATCAATGATGATCAATGATGATTAATCAAGAAAATATGGCGTCTGTGGAGTCCGCGGAGCGTGGCAGTGACTTAAGGGCCTTGCTTTCCTTCCGAGCCGTTTCCCGAAAACCTTCTGTTTCAAGATGTGGCTCAGTAAGGCCGGTTTATGTCTTCTCGATCAAGATCCCGATCTCCAAGCGAGGCGCCACAGACTGGTTGATGGAAGCTGCGAACTGGTGCCCGCCATGGCTTTTCGAAGTGCTCTGAACCAGGGATCTCATGACACATCGGTGTCTGCCGTGCCGGTGTGCCGGTCTTCTCAGCCATAAATCTGTGCTTAAAGCTGAAATCACAAACAGTCGGGCTTTGTGTTGAGGTCTGCGGAGCCCGGAGTCCGAATCTGAGGAGCTGTTCCCGTTGCAGAACTGCTGCTGTTGTTGCTGCTGCTGTTCGGTTGCACTCAATGGACGGAGGCAAGCGCTGAAAAACTCAGCTCTCGATGCTCTTGTGAAATGATTTTGGCTGTGCTTTCGCGTTCCGCAAAAGATGTGTGCAGCTTGGGGCGATGGTTCTGACCACATCCTCCCGACACCGCCTCGAAGATCTGCAGCCGGGGGTTCCGGTGGCGGGGGCCTGTTGAAAGGACTTCCAGAGACTTCAAGCTCTGGGTGGGAACTGGTGCTTTCTCGTGCAGATCTCTGCTTGCTTGTAGCTTCGCGCGCTTCGCTATGTCCGCTATGTCGCCATTTTTCTGCGGGCTTCTGACTCAGCATCTCCAAAACAGGGGCCCTATTTGAGTAGACCCTGCCTTTTCCTTCCCTGCGCCCCCTTTTTTCGGGGTCGGCATCAGCTGTCAGCCCTTCTTGGCGCTTCTTGGTGGGTTTGGGTTGGCCATATACTGCAACACCCTGCAGACAACTCAGTCTTACATCAGCGGCTGTCCACCACTTATAAGCCTTGGAGAAGCTGCAAGAGCTCAACATAGGCCTGCTCTCACACACACAGGCGCCGAAACAGATCCATGTCGAAGAGGATCCACTCCAGGTCTTCATGGGGCTGCAAGCGTCCAAGCATTCTTCCCATCTGCACTCAAACAAAAAAGCATGGATGGGAAGGGGCTCTCAACAAGAACGAAGGTGCTGGTGTCCTCCTGCGTCTAGCAGTGATTCCAAGGAAAGAATAGCGAGGCGCAGAATGTGTTTGCAAGCTGGAAGAGACTGATGTGCAACGAAAAGCCTGTGTCTGTTGGCAGGCTGGCCTCCGCTCTGCGCAGATTTAATTTCGAGGCTGACAAGTTGCCAAGCAACGCTGTGCACTCCCACATGGCGTCATGTTGACTTGTATGCCGGCAGATGCAGAATCATTCTCACCCAAAGCATGCAGGTGTTGATTGTGCCTTCGCAAAGGCCCGAGGCCAGTACCGTACCCTCACAACTACAACTTTAACCCTGGACATGAAGATCATGAAGATTGCAGCCCCCGGATCCACTGGATGGACAGGCGATTTCTGCAGCAACCTCTCTTGTTGACGTCGCCGCCAAGGTGATGGTGCCCGAAACTAGTAGCCGTAAGTAGCCGTCGTTTTTCTGTCGATTCTTGACCGAGAGCATGAGGAGTTACAATGGGAGCTCGAGCTTTCAACACTGCCTTGCCAAGCAGGTCGCGGCAATTGAGTAGCCTGCGTCTGCTAGTACGGTACATTCCTTGCCCAGTGGAAGAGGAGGAACTCTGTCCCGATCTAGTGCAGGCCTTGACGAGAAGTCCTTGCAAGATGCATATCATTCCGTGCCCGGCGCCCTGGTTGCTGTGCAAGTTCCACAGTCGCCCCTGACTGCTTCTGCTACCGTTCCCGATGCGCTGCTGCAGCGTCAGAGCGTCAGGTACACAGATCGATGCGTTGCTGCAGAACAGAGCTGCTTGCTGCTTCTCAGTAATCGGGAGGAGGCATGTTCGCTGTGTGATTGCTGCAGCCTCATGGCAGCCAAAGCCGTGAAGAGGCGTGGTCCTGGCTGTCGACCTTCACGAATTGGTTTCTTGGTGGGCCGATTTGAAGAGCTTTTGGCAGAGTTCTTGCCCAGTTCGTGTTTTGCCGGAGGCAAAGAGCCGCTCGAGTTGAGTGACGAGGCAGCAGACCTAAATCACCCCGGCGAGCGGAATGGCGTAAGTCTGTCTCAGCAGGTCACTGTGATGTAGTGTGATGACCCTCTACGATAATCATCTTGAGCCCCACTGCACGCGCACAAGCACAGCACAAATCCTAAATTTGGTATGAAGGAACTTGGGACAGCCCCAAAACCGATACGTAATACTGTACTCAATAAGTTTAGCTCAGTGTGGCATGTGTTCTGCACCCATTCCGCACCACATTGGAGAGCTGTGTTGCGACGTAACGCCTTGCAAGAAAGTCAGGTTCCGAAACTTGTGTCCCTGCCGAAAGCTACTTTCTATGATCCCTTCTCTTGGCAAGGGCCACCCCCCCCGTTATTCCAGAACAGTTGAGAAGAGGAGGTTTGACTTTGTGGCGACTGGGTTTCGGGAAGCTGGGGCTTGAACTCCACTTCCAGACACAGCCGCTGTAGGATTTAGGCGTTGCTTCGCAGGAGCAGATTTGGCTTGCTGTGGAGCTGAATGGATGCCATCTCAGCTTCCTTGATTTTCTGAGTTTGACAATGACATGTTGAGAGACCTTCAGACATATTTGAGACCTTCGAGCTCGCAAAGGTTTTACACTTGCTGGATCGTCTCCAGGCCTCAAGCTTCGCTTGCAGCTTAAAGACGAGATCCCATGCTGAACTTGCATCAGACCTCGTGGCCCTTCAAGGCTCGAAGACGAGTGAGATGAGGGCAGCCGTAACTTGAGTTCTTGGAGAGCTCTTGGCAAAAAGCGCTGTGCCGCTTCGCTCTTGCTTGACCAATCTTGACACTGTTGAGCAGGCCTGCTGACTGGTACACGCCTGTGTGCCATAATGCCCCCCGCAGAGGCAACATCATTCACACAACAGGAGTTCCAGACAGCACAGCCTATCGGCCGGCAGCAGGGGGAGAATGGGCTTGAATGGGCAAACCGCGGTGCCAACCACTGCAAGAAAAATGGGAAAGGCATGCCTCGCAACCAGCAATGTCAACTACTCACTGTTTAATAGTGGGCCCAAGAAGATAATCAAGTGCAACATAGACAATGCACACGAGGGCAATTGGATGTGGGAAGCAGAGCGACAGTCGAGCGGGACAATTGGTGCGAGTCGGGCAGACAGCATGTTGAAACCTAAGGAGATCGACTAAGCGTGTGCTGCAAGGCATCAGGCTTTGATTGCAACAACCGTGATGAAAGCAACGCAAAAAAAGGTCGCTGGCAGCATGATCCAGTTCTGGCCTACACTTGAAGCCCAAGAAATTTCAATAGCAAGGTCCTTATAACAAGGTCCTTATGACTGCCGAGAAAGATCAAGCGCAGACTCTGAGTTGGGCAACTGGACGTTTGAATGACAGGAGTATTCTGGTACAGACTACCTTGCCGACAACGTTGGACAGGGAAAGCATGGAGGTCAATCAGCCTATTGTCAGTACAGTTTTTTCATCTGTTTTTCACCGTGGCACACCGTGGCACCAGTCGCGCAGAGCACTGATGCAGGCTTTTTGGTTCCGGCGGCGTCGACGCCTGGAGGCCATTGGATTTGTGCCAAGATCGGGTTGCAAGACGTCCAAAACTGAAATTAAATACCCGAAGATTCTTGCAACCCCTTGTGCTGCTCCTGCACAGGTTACGGGTCCTAAGGGCTCCCATGGCAAGGCACGAGACACTACATGATGCTCATTGTGCCATGCCTCAGATAAGTATGTCACGCGGCCTCTAAAGTGGAAAGCAGATTGGGCAGGAGCCGCGCTTGCCGAAATGAATCCTCTTCGACGTGCAGCTCCTCCAATACTGCAGTGCAAACGGGTGCAAACGAGAGTTAAATGAGTACAAAACTCAAGCCACTTAAGCCCCACTTAAGCCTGTGCAGCTCAGGCAGATCACAAGGCCAAGCCTGTACACCATGTACTGACAACCGAAGCGAAGTCGAAGTTCCCGGAGAAGGACTTTATCCAGCCCTTCGGGCCTCTCTCATCTCTCTCCCACGTGCAAATGAGCCAAATGAGCCAAATGAGCCAAGGCTGAGCACGTCGTAGGACCGCCGACAGTGCCCTCTGATGCACTTTGAAGCATATTTCCGGGTGTCATTCAGTTCAAAGTGGCGGACGAAAAACAGTCCAAGGAGAGGTCGGAAAAAGGGGGGGGGGGGGTGTGCAGTCGAATTTTTCACCCCCGGCACCCTCAAACTTTGGGAGTGTCTGTGACCTGTTGCCTCATGCAAGGCTCAAGCATGCCTTTCCAAGATGTAGGCCTTCGGCAACGCGGGCCTCGGGTCTGGAAGGACCTCGGGTCTTTAAGTAATTGTTGGTTATAACAACGCTCAGCAAGGCTCTTAGCGCGGTGATATGCGACATGCACAGGCCCAATGGCCTTGGTACCTCGGATGTGTCGCAGCTGCTCTTACCGCGTGCACATTAGCTAGTCTTTCAGCATCTTGCTTGCATCTGGGCCTTAGCAAGTTCCATGCCTTCCCAACGGCATTAGCTGGCTTGGTAAGGTGAGGCGGAGTGGCCCTGAATCGTGGAGCCCACTCCCACCCAGACGATTGCAGACACAGGCGAAGACGGGTTGCGGGCAACGGATTCTGTTTGAGAACGAGCATGGGCCTGCCAGGATGACAAGGAGGAACGCTGTAAGCCAGCACGCAAGCCTGAGGAGCTTCGGAACTAACGGAACTGCTCTCTTGTGCGCACTCTCCAACTGTGTCCCATGCGGCAGCTGTCTTGCCTGCAGATTTACGGCCCCTTGTTTAGTCTGCCTCCTGCCGGGCCCAAAGTGATTCGGGGAAAAAGAGTGTTTACGCCAAACGTGCCCGCCTTTTCAAGGTGGTGATCAACTTTTGCGGCGAAATCGAAATGACCGAGCTCGTGGGTACCAACTCAAAGGCTGAAAGTTGGGATGCTCGATCTTGCCCGATGGCCCTTGCTTGGCACATGGCTAGTAGAGCCCTGCCTCTTTCAGGTCAACGGTATCTCATTTCTAGCTCTGACACAAGCTGCAGAGGCCTGGCACCATTCGGCACCTCTTAATTTCGAGAGCCAAGCCCGGCAGGTTGTGACACTTGTGGAAGCTGGTGGCCCCATCTACCAGCTCAACGTCTCTCGGCGTGAGGCAAACGAGGACAACGGTGACATTCAGTTCAGCAGAGCGCTGTTCGGGCAGCCAGCAATCGGTCTTTTCGTTTGTGGCCCAGGTATTATCCGATACTAGTCCGCGTGCAAAATGGGATATAAATCGTCCTCCAGTCGGAGCCTTCAAGAGCAAGCATTGCAGAGTTCTGAGATGTTCTGAGCATAACCTCATGCATTTAACCCAGGTTAGGACGTTCGGCGGAAACTCCTGCCTGGACTTCACTCAGTTCTGCTCACCGCTCAGACGCATGTGGCCCTTAATTACAGTATACAATGAGTCAGTTGTCGCTTCGCAGGTGAAGTCGCATCTGTGACACCGCTCCTGACCGGGTTCGTCGTGGTGGTTGGCCCATCTTCTCCATCAAAGCGCAGTCAACTTTTGAGCCTTGTCCTATCAAGGTGGACCGGCATCGTTTGCAAGAGCTTGGACCTAAGCCTGTCCAACGCCCGAGGGTGCTTGCGGGACTATCGCTGATATGTTGCAGAATTGAATGGTGGGCTGCTTGAAGCGCAGCGAACACATTGACATGAAAACACATCACAGGACCTGGAACCACGCGCCCACCACGTGTTCGCGCGCGCACATGTTGTGCAAGAACAGGCAATCGTTCAGGTTGCAATGAGTCTTTTGCCGTTCCTTGCGGTGCTTTCGGTCGGAGCTACAACCAAGCTCGATCTTTCTTAGAATCGCCGAAGCTACACAGTGTATAGATGCCAGTGGTGTTTTAAAGGCATTTTGGTAAACGGCGAATTTTCATTTTGCATTCGTATTTAAAGTTGGTTCAAAAAACATCACCCCTGTTTCAATTTGGTGTTAGGGGAACGGGCTCTTGTTTCAGTAAACCCTAAACCCGAGCGCGGAAGGGAAACCCTAAACCTGTAACTGTAACGAACATAATCATCGTGCGGGCATGCGTGCTCTGGCCATTCGCACGCGGTGGCAACACGAACGTAGTCATCGTGCCGGCATGGATGCTCTGGCCATTCGCCCGCACTGGTAGCATGAACGTAATCATCGTGCGCATATGGATGCTCTGGCCCTTCGTACGTACTGGCAACACGAACATAATCATCGTGTTATGGTTCCATGGCTTGAAGAACAAGAGAAGAAGAGAAAGTAAACAGACTACGCATTACCTGGAAGGGCACTACGGGTAACAAGTGGGAAAGTTTGAGAAACAGTGGCTGGCACCGATGGTTCTGCACATGCAACATAGAGAAAAGCGGCGCTTACATCACAAATCGATTCCAGAACAGCCACCGAACCTCCTTGAAAGCGCACTCGAACAAGGTATCCTTCCCTAGAACCATGAGCATGTACAGTACGCATGCATGGACAGATACGTCCAGTCTAGTCCACAGCATGCCCACGCAGACTGGGGACCCTCGCATGCAGCCATCCATGTCCAAGATGGCTAGAAGGATCCCGCACGGCACGGACCTCCTAAATTCGTGTCATGTAATCTGCACGTCCTTGCCTCATCTTGCCACACAGGTTCAATGTATCCTGGGGCGAATCTGGGTCTCAAGAGATTGCTGTCAGCACTTTGGGGAAAATGAACATGGCCTGATGCCCAGAAGCCAGCTTCTCCGAAGTGACTTTGTATGCCACGCTGCGATGCCTGACTCCTTCTCAAGATTCTTAGGAGACAGTCGATGGACTGGCCCTTAGAGCGTTGGGCATGGACGGGCATGGGCAAAGGCTGCTCATGGAATCCTGCATTCTTAGGTGAGACAGAACTGCGATTTCCTACCTCTCTGGCTGTGTGCCCTCGACTAGAAGAACATTATGAACATTGCTTGTGTCTGCGGTCAAAGCGCGAAGGTACGAACCCTACAATTCGACGCACATCGGCCCGGACTTCGCTATGACTCCCTTGTTTCCTCATGCTCGGAGTCGGTACTTCTTTGTGTCTGATACAGGCTCGACGTGAATTCTGCTGTGCTGAAGCATTGTCACCTACGGCATGCATCCCCGACAGAAGCCCGGGCATGATCTCATCCAGGAAATCACCGCATTTTGTTCCTGGATGCCACAGACCACTCAAGTTTGAAGTACGTCGAGTCGTTTGGGGTGATGGGTGAGGCGAGGGCTTAGGGCTTATAGGTATCTATGAAGAGAGCTGGCGCATGCTGGTGCCATCGGACCACGCGGGAGGCCAGAAGTGACAGGACGGGCTTTCACTTTCCCGCGGGCATTGCTGTCATGGCACCAACAGGTTGATTGCTCAGCATTGTTCGCACTTGGCTAGCATGGCCTAGATGAGCTGTTGCCGAGTTGAGAGCTTCTTCGGACCTACGATTGCGGCAGTGTTCGTGCTTGCCGCAGATTTCCTTTTCGAAGCGTCGCATCGCAACATGGGACATGCGCTGTGGCTGGGAATTCCTGACTGGCGCAAGGTGGCAGACCGTCACAACAACCGAATCGTCAAACTTCGGCTGGCCTACAGGATCTCCCCCGCCCTTGCCCAGGGTCTTCGGGGGTCTCCGGGGTCTTGCAAAAGCTGCGTGAATCAGGACGGACCCAAGTCATCCAGCATACAAGGGAGAGATGAAAGTGCCTCAGTGTTAGGCAGCCTTTTTGTCGGCTGACCCTTCCCGGCCCAACTTCGAAGGCCAAGCCTTCTTTGGGGTGGGCAGTACTTCCGGGATGTTACTGGAGCCTGGGCCCCAGATCAAAACAGGGCTGCGCAGAACGTGCCTGTCCTGACTCCTTCAGATGAACTACAATGAGAGTCTTCTGGATCCTGTTGGCACAACTCTCGGACGGCTACTATCTTCATTTGAAAATTTCATCGTGCAAGAGTTGGAAAAGGATAAATGTGAGATGAGTGTTCCCTTTCAGGTGTTTCCATCTACAGGCACTTCATCTTCGTGTGCGAGGCGATGGTAACCGTGCCTGTGGAAAATGGGGCACAAGCATCTTGCAGAGGCCGAAGGCAATGCCATCACGATCCTAACGACAAACTATGTGGCTCATGAGGAGCTCATCTATGCCTCGCGCTGAGATGCTGGGCGCTTCCATTGGTGCTACGGAGGCAAGAAGCAGCTGCAGGTCACGGAGCTCTATCCCCCGCCGACGATCCAGCTCACTGGTAGCTTTTCGACAACGTCCAGAGCTGAGATGAAGGCTGAGGTGTGCTCTCAAGATGTGCTCGCAACATTCACACAATCGCGAAGACACTACAAGACTTTATGCCTTTATGCCATGCACGGTCTCTCTTCCTTGTCATGATTGTCCCATTGCCAAGGGAGCAAGGCTACCTTTGGTTTGCGTGCCCCACGGATGGGTTCTGTGCATCTGAGGGTCCAGTTTAGGGCGGGTTTAGTGTGAGAGCGTTTTCTCCAAGAGGTATGTCCGGCGCCCCTCGACACACGGGCTTGGAAGCATCTACCTTCCGGAGCCATTGCCCCAGCTTGGGGCCCCTAGGAAAGCCAGGCCACCTTGCCCTCGTTGCAAACCCTGTTTTTGCCTGTTTTCACCTTGCATCAAGCCTTGCATCTGTCCTGCATCTGCATGGCCTTGCGCCTTTTTGCGGAAATCTCGCTGGCTGTGAGACCGATTGTCGAGTCCCCGCCGGCCTCTTGGATCGAGGACAGTTGAGAGTTGAGGGATGTTGACGGATGTTGAGAGGCATCAGTGGGGCATCACCAGAGGATGTGCTCGGGAGCCCGCAGCCCGCAGATGCCCGGAGGAGTTCCGCACACAATGCACCAATGCCACCATCTACAACACTTTCATCATGGCAAACTCCACGCTCTGGGCTCGGATGGGCTTGAGCCACACGCCCACTTTGCTGCAGCATTTTACAGCACTGCACGTGAAGGCGGGTGCTGCCTTAATGCAGCCGAGAGAGTTGCAGCGTGCGAACGGGCGAGAGACAGGCTTTGAAAAGTCTGCACGAAGCATTTCGTGTTGGGCTGACGGGCGTTAACGACTGAAAGAAATTTTATGGAACAAATAGCTGAAGGTGCCGAGGCAGCGACCTGTTGGCACGTGTGTTGATTGTCTCAGAAGGCGTTGACAAGTAAGTATCACGAAACTTCGCCAGCAACCTCCCCTCGTAAACCTATCGAGTCAGGCAAACCATTCCTGTGTCCCGCACAATGTCACAAACACGTTCAGAACATACGTAATGCCTCTGATCTTCGTTCTTGCAACGTAGTCAACCCTCAAATTGTCGGAACAATCAGATTCGCCAAGGCAGACAGGGGCTCAGCTCATCAATGATTGCGTGCCCACCCTGCCCTGACACAATGGCGACTTTCACCAGCCAAAAAAGTTTTTCAAGTGTCGACTTCTACGATTCTACAATCCTTAGCCGGATTGGGTTTAGGATGGTTTAGGTGTGCGTGGATTGCCGAGTTGCAGACTTATCAGCTGGGTTCGTAAAAGGCTACCGCGCATATCAGTTGTCGGAAGCAAAAACGCTAGGAAGTTAGCCATCTTTGAGTTGCCTGTCGTCCTAAGTAGTGCGCAGACAAGTTTCAGAAGCACGGTTTGCAGAGGCTTTACGACGAGCACGTGCTTTACGTGCTGAATGCTGCCCGCATCAACTGGCGCTTTCCATACAGGCAGAGTGCTCGCCATCATCGCAAGGGTCAGTGAATGCCGCTCTGGGGGCATGAGGCCTGGTTTCCTGAGCAAGGACTCCTTCAACTTAACTGTGATGCCAGGGCCTCAAGAAAAGGTCTTGTGGTCCTACGCAGCCTCACCCCGGCTACTATTGCTGATATTTGCTGATTATTGGTGCCTGGAGAAAGAGGTTCGATCTGGTGCTTTGGAACGAGACTGTGTTGGAGGGTCAGATGGAGTATTGCCTCCCACCTCCACCTGCCACCACACCGCCGGGAGCTCAGAGCAGCAGACGTCCCTCACCTCACGTCCCTCACGTCCTCCCTCACGTCAATGTCTTGCATACAGAAGCGCGCCAGGCCCATGCTGAGCGCCAATGAAGATGGCTGGAACACTCCGGGTGTTGGAGCCTCACAGCAGAAGCATGCAGAAGCATGCAGAAGCTGCAGAGCCAAGCAGAGCCATCCAGAGCCATGCAGCCTCAGGGCGGCAGCATTCTTCTTACCGGGGGCTCGGCGCCTCAAGCCATCGGACTGGGGCTCAGAAGGGTGGCTCTGATATGGTGACATTTTATGATCTTGTGCTCATGTTCCCTGTGCAGGGCCTCAACTTTTTCCCAGCCGTTGCAAATCTTCAAGGTTGGACGGTGGTGACCATCCTGATTGGGCTCATGCCAGGAGCTGAATTCCTAAGCTGAGTTTGTGATTGAAGCTTGAGCATGATCGCTGTCTTGCACCCAAGGCTGCTCGAGAACGTGTAGTAGTGCATGGTAGCAAGATTTCCAAAGGAACTTGCTATGTTCAACTGCCTCCCATACCAGAGGAGGCAGGTGTTGTCAGATTAGGTGCACTTGCATTTAGCCCAGCAGTCCTTCCCATTGTGCAGACGACCGACTGATGCGTGTTAATGATGATGGCCGAGATGCCAAAGACCAGTCCATGAGCCCATGGGCAACCCATGTGGCCAATGAGGGCCAAGAAGTCCTTGTACAGACAGCCGTCGGTCAGCGTGCCGATGTATGATCCTGAAAGTGGTCGAGCCTGACTCTTCGCTTTTCTTTGGAGGCAAGCTGAGGCAAGGCGAAGCACACCCCCTGACAGTATCTTTCTATGAGAGAGAGCTTGCCATGAGCTTGCCCTTGCCTGTCGCATTCGTTTCCCATGAAAGGAGGAGGCATTCGAGGAGGGGAGGAACACCAACAAAAGCAGCACACTATGGAACCAGTATGCCGGGCTTGCGAGTCTGTGGGTTCCACTGGGGCATGAGTGAAAACGCCGGCGGGGGCATTGAAGAATGGCATGATATGGTGTTGGGCTTGTCGACTGCAACAGGCTTCTTAACGGAGCCAGAGGTTGGCTTGCTTCCGAGCGTTACCGGGGGCGGCACATTGGGTCACGTTTATTGTTTTGGGCAGGGGATTACCATTCTCGGTACTGTTTTCTGCCATGGTGTTTTTGTTACGTCGATAGGAACGATGATTGCTGCAGGCCAAATTCTATCATGCTCTATTGCTGCTATGATCTGCTATGCTTTCTTTTCATCATTCATCTGAATGGTGGTGCCTTTACATGCTATCAGGTCCTTCCCGAAAAAAGCAGTTCTCCAATGACCGTACATTTCTGTCACAGAGAATGCATTTGCATTGCATCTAGAGTCAAGCAGGTCTGATATGCTTCTGCTGGTATATTATTGCTGCCGCTGACTGGTGAGAACTTGAGCACGGAAATCCGACAGGACTCTTGTACAGGGCTACGGGCCCTACAACCTGTGCATACAGGCCTACGGGCCCTCTGAACCCATAGGCTGTATGGGCTCTGCAGGCAATACAGGCGCTACATGGCCCTTTACAGGCTTACAGGCCTCCTGGGCCCGACCAGGGAGTCAACCTTGACCAAACTGCATGGGACTGAACGGTTTTTTTTTTGCTCCAAAAGCGGCCTGCGCAGCATCACGGAGCCTTCGCTTTTTCGCTTTTGCGCGTACCAGTCTCAGCTTTGCGTGGAAAGGGGTCTGGTATCTGGGATGGCGAGCATCATGAGCAGCGGGCAGAGGACAGGAGGAAGAGGAGGCGGAGAATGAGAACGAGGAACAGCAACGGCAATAGCAGCAATGTAATTACACTAGCAGTGGCAGGGTGGTAATCGCCGCTTTCTGGGGTTTCCAAGCGAGTTTACAGCACATTTGCAACTTCGCCCCGCGTGTGGGCGAGAGCCTGTGCACGGGACGTCCTGTTCGCTCTCCATCTTGCTTGCTTTTGAGAATCTGTCAGGAAGCGGACAGCAAACAAAAGATCACTCCAAATTCTAGAACTCAGCAACCACTCTATCAGCTTTGCCCTTGACATCTGCTCTGCATCATTTGGCCTGAAGGTGGAGTGACGCTACAGTACAAAGTGGAGTGACACTACATAAGTATCAAAATGCTTCCTCAAATGGTTGAGCGGCATAGACACGCAGGCGCTCTGTTGTGCTATTCAAGACACTATGATTCTTATCACAGCGCGACTGCAGGCGTGGCCAAAAGAACAGAAAGATACCGATGCACCGATACACCGATACACCAACCACTGCGGGCCACCCGCTTTCTGTCTATAGTTTGGGTATCTGGAGCCCCGGCCTTGAGCAAAACACAACACCACGGGCTTGACACCGGGCAACGTTTCTGGGACTCGTACCTTGTTGGCACGAGTCCCATTTAGCACTGGCACTGGGATTCCATGAGCCGGCAAAAAGATCATTCGTTTGTAGTTGCCTCGAGCTTGTTTCCTCCTTTGCATCACGGCTTCTGGCCGCGTTTTTCTCTATTTCTCCCTTTTTGGCTGCTAAGGTGTCACCAAACAACCGCGATCGATGTAGTTGCATGAGCCGGCTGGAGTTTCTTTAAGCTTTAGTATTGGAATCCGGCTTGCCACGAGCCGGCTGGAAGTTCCCCACGAAGCTGTATTTTCATTGGGTGGTAATGCAAGTTTAGTACTGGAATCAAGGTTTCAGCGACGCAGCTGTGTTTTCGTTCGTACGAGTTCAGTATCGGGACCCAGGATTAGCTGGATGATCATTGACGTGTAGTACTGGAAGCGTACTTCCATGAGCTGGTCGTACTTTAATTGCATTGCATGAACGCCCAATGTGTTAGCAAGCAATGCGCCGGCTGTATTTTCTCATTGGGTGTACTGCTTACTCCACTGCCTGGGTTGTTTCCGTAAGCATCCCTGAGTCGACTGTATTCTCACTGACGCGCCAGATTAAACGTTTCATGAGAGGTGGGGTTGCTTGCCCGGCATGCCTAAAATGTGTTGCAATATCGTTTTGGTTGTCGTTCTGCTTCTGCTTCCACTTCGGAAAATCGGGACCTTGCAGCCTGATCATCAGGGACAAGCGCCTTCATTACGGACGTATGCCATTTCTCAGCCTTGGGGACTATCATCAAAGAAGGCGCAGCACTGCTGGGACCCGAACACACAACTTGTAACATCATTGTTACGTTATTGCTATCAGTATCAGTAGAACTGTAGCAGTAGTAGCAGGACTAGCAGTAGTGGCAGTAGTAGCAGTGGTAGCAGTAGAAAGCGAGTAGCAGGTTTAGGGTTTAGGGTTTAGGGTTTGGGGTTTGGGGTTTAGGGTTAGGGTTAGGGTGTTTCGCGGTGTCCAGACTTGAAAGTGACATCTGGATTTGCACATCCGCATGCGAGGATGTGGCCTTGGGGGGGTTCACCGACCGAGGATCAAGGAAGCAGACCAACCACAAAAACCCTGCTAGCCCCGAACCCTAAACCTAAACCCTCAACCCTCAAAACGCCGCATGAGGTGTCGTCAGGCGTCTGGGCGGTCAGAGTCTTGACGGGTGGCATCGGGGTCAGTTTGCATGTGCGGGATGAGGCCCAGAAGTCAACGCACAAGCAGAAGTCAGTACATAGCATAGTGACGTTTTGTTGCGTAGGAACGACTTGATGCAAACATAACACGATCGCAAGCACATGTGACACCAAGTTGCCCGCAGATAGCGTGCTGTCATCACAAGTTCGAAGAGCAATTCAGTCTTTGTGGATTTGTTTCGATTGTGCAAAAGAGACCAGAGACCGCGCGGTCCGCAGCCCAACCCAGGCCCGGGCCTTTGGTTTGTTGGGGGGAAGTTCGCTGAGGGCCACTTTAGTGGGCCACTCTGAGGTCGGCCACTCTGAGTGGGCCATTGGGGACGGGCAAGATGGGAGGCCCTGCTGCGTAAGCGTCTTTACTAATTTACCCCAAGGGATGCTAACTTCTGGCAGGCAGTTGTTCCACGACCACATGTGAGACGCAATCTCAGAATTTTTGCAAAGCTCGAAGACAAGAGCGCCGAGAGCTGCTGAGAGATGAGAATGCCCAAAAGCTGTCAGAAGCTGTCAGAAGCTGTCAAGCCTTGGCAAGGTCTCAGTGGTCTCAGTGCTTGCCATGGACATTTTGGCGCCCAGGATCAGCTCAAGAAGTCGGGAAGGTGCCTGATTTGCTGCTTGCATTTGTGCAGCTGAGTACGATGGGCGGCCTGCCCTGGTAACCCGCGCCAAGTTCACGACAATTGTGAAAGACTTGCGCTGCGGAATGATGAATGACGGCTCCAGGTGCAACAGCACATAGCAGCACATAGGACTCTCGAGGTGTGCTTTGTTTTTTTGAAGTTTGAGCAAGTCTGAGAGAGCTCTTTGCAATTCCAAAAGCAACGTTTTGTATGCGAGCTCTGTCCCTGAGACCATCCCTGGGCTTCAAGGGGGAACGATAAGACTTTTGCATGTGCCAATTTCATGTGCTCTTTGAGTCGACTTCAGACGTGAGGTGAACTTCTGCCCCCAAAAAGTCAGAAGCCGTGTGCTCTCGTGTGCTCGGGGAGCGCCGACCATGGCGGAGCCCGAGCCTACAGAGGAACTGCCTCAGATTGGTGGCGATCCGCACAACGCCGTGCAGATCAGGCCTCTGCTGACTTATTGCGGCGTGCATTGTTTAGAACGGCAGCTTCTGCAAACACGGAGCACTGCATGCCTTTTCTTCGGCTTGTGCAATCGAACTGATATCAGTATGTGTCCAGCGGGCAGGCCTGTGCGAACCACGTACGGTGAGGACTTCACCTTCTATTGCATATAATTTTAGTTAAGCTCCCAATGCCCCTTTGGGGCACTTTCGGAGATGCAGCAGCAGATGCCAGACGTGATTCTGATAATTTTGGTATGATAGCATGCCTTCGCTCATCACACGCTCATTTTCTTAATGCGGAACAGGGGGCACAGGAAAGCATGCTTTCCATCTGCAGAACCTGAACGGTCTGATGTTCTCTCCAGTTCACACAATCTGCCAGGACATCCCGGCAGGCTCCAGCCGAATTCAAGTGCAGTTTTTATGCCAAAGCATCAGAAGGGCATCTAGATGCAACCTAGATTTCTTCCAATAGCCGGAGTCTGCCCGATACGTTGTGGTCATGGAAGGTGGCTATGTTGTCAAGATGGCTCTCGTCTTAGACACGACAGCAAAAGCACAAGCAGTTCTCGATCGCTGCTCTCCACTGGTGCTGGGGCATTCTGTTGTTTCGCTTCAGGCCAAGTCAGCACCGCTGTCCGATTTGAAGGCTGGATTCCCAGCTGCGTGACGCGTGTTGAATCCCTGAGTTCAACAGCGTCGTATAGAACGTCTTAGAACGTCCTAGAACGTCCTCTAATACTGCAGATGCTCAGTTAAGGCTGCCATGACGCAGAAGCTCAGTATCTCGGAGGCATGCCTCTCCGTGTGACTTTCCACTACCTCCCTGTCCAGCTGTTCGGGCCAAGAATCATCGTACCGTGCAGCCGTTCGAGCAGGACACGATCACGTTCGCATACGAGGGTGAGGAGATGGATGAGAAGAAAACCATCAAGGACTGAAATCATTTTTTTTGTTCCTTTTCGCACAGTCTCTCTGTGCATCCCTCTGCTTCCCCGATACGCCTGTGGGCCTGTGGGAAGGCAGAAAGAGGGGCGGAAAGAGGGGCTGTTTCCCATTGTTTCCCTCTCCGGGAATGGTGATGGTCAATGTCTCCATCTGTCTTGATAGTGACGAGAAACCATATCTTTAGATGGGCACCTGGCCTTCCTCCAATGGTTTAACAGGTTTAAGAGCTCTTTTGGTTGGTCCACGTCTCTGAACAGCCAGGGTTTCGGGCCAAAACCCGGATTGCAAGAGTCATGACTCGACGAAGTCTAATTTCTCAGCTCCGATTCCGGAGTTGTCCCTCAATCAGACTTAGGGAATAGAAGGTAGCTGACAGTACATCACCTCGAGAGCTGTGAGGTTGCATTGGAACCCCAAAATCCCCTCTGCCAGGAGAATGGAATCCCTGAGCCTGGACCTGCTGCTAGGCGAGCTGGTGCCAAGGTGGAACTGCTGCTGGGCACCTGGAAAGGAGTCCACATGATACAAGTTGATACAAGCCAATGCAGTTAGTCTAGGTTCTTGATTCGAGCTGGTGTCGAAATCGGTGCGCAACGGGCTCGCAGAGAGGCGGGGGACCAACTCTTGCCCACCATGATCACGGACACTGGCTCAAGCTGCAGTGTGCAAGGCGGCAGAGGCGGCAGAAGCGGAAGAACGTCGACGCCTTGAAGAGGTCGGCCAGAAGCTGTGTACGCGTGTAGCACATCACAAAGCACCACTGGTTCGGCATCATGTGCAGGAAGCCATAAAGAGGAAGGAAGAGGCGCCGGCGCAGGGCAGTTGGTATCAGTACTAGTGACAAGTGCCTTTGCAGGAAGAGAGGCGGCAAAAGATGGAAGAGGAACAGAAGATGGCCGCCAAAAGAAAGGCTGATGTGTGAAGCTCAGCTTTGGCGCCGTACCCCATGCTGCAACTTATGGCTGAGCACAACTTCTCAAGAGTGTGAGATTGTGTCTGTGAGGCCGAGGCTGAGCTTCGGCGACAGGTGGGGTAGACATGGGGTAGACATTGGCCGAATGCTTTTGCAGAATGCTTTTTCACAATGAAGGAAAAATGCATTTGGTTCTTCTTGGTTTGACCCCAATGCCTCAGGAGGAAGCACGCAGGAACAACCGGTGCGTTCTACGCTGCTTAGAAATTGGAGGAGGCGGTGGCAAGGACACCACTGGACAGCCGCGTCTCTGGTCATGAAGGCGGTGTCAGCCATACGATGCGTGGCAAAGGAGCTAGTCACTGCCAGCAACTTGACGGTGATGGAGGCTGCATTCAAGTGTGGTTTTGTTGACTGAAGCGGGAAGCGGCTAATTCCTCTCCTGACGCTCCATGTTTGCCACTCGCCACCGCTTTCTTTGGAGTTTAGGGCTTGCCACTCACCATCGCCTTGTAGGATTTTAGGGGTTCACGCAGTGTACCGTGGGTTTCGCGTGAAAGGCACCGAGAGATTTGGAATTTTGTTGGACCAGTGATGCGGAAAACAGTATGCTAAGTGGCGACATGAGAGCCTCTGCCCCATGTGCGTAAGTGTTGGCTCCATTTTCGCCGTACGATGCAGTCAGTCCAAGATCACCACATCCGTGATCTTCATGTCGTTGATCACGTACTCACTCGTTGCTGGATGCATGACCAAACATTTCAAGCACTCAGTGCGGGGCATCCTGTTGCCTGTGAAAGGTTGCTCGCCAGCTGTGCCGAGAGTCCAGCTCCCATCGTTTCCTTGACGCGGCCACTGCGTTCACTGAGAGTTCACTGACAGTTCACTTAAATTATACTGCATTCCACGCAAGGCTAAACATGCTCCGAGATGAAGAGCATCAAGGCGGAATTGTGCTTCTCCACAATGGCCAGCCACTTCCAGGACACCGGACAAACATCCGAGTGGTGCAGTTGTGATGTTGTGCTTGAGGGAGCTGCAGGACGCCAGACGCTTCATGATGCAGGCATACGAAACAACGATGAGGCTGCCCAGCATTACCCAGTTAACTGCTGCGTATGGTGAGCCTTCCAGCAGCAAGCAGTAGGCCCAGTATACAGGAAGGTATACTCAAGCTGTCGAAAGCAGGTGTACTACTTCTGGGGTGAGGGTGGCGAGGCGGTGGCGGAGCTCGGATAGGGGTTGCTGAGGTTCCTGTAGCTCGAACTTAGCACCTGTTTGCTCCGATCCTGGATGCCTTGGTGACAAAGACTGAGTCTAGCTTGAAGAGCTTACATGTTCTTCGAAGAGCGTGCCAGCGCGCACTAACTTTTTGTTTGGATTGCATGGTGCAGGACTTGTCGTGCTGGTGTGGGAAAAAGCCTTGCCTAAGACTCCTGTTGCTCGTTGTGAGATGTTGCTATGGCCGAACTCATTTGGAGGAGAATGCTAGGCCCCTAGATCTGGAAGCACCCTGAGCGCACCTCCAGGCGGCGAGTCTCGAGGGGGAGGCGGCGATGTGAGGAGCTTACAGGCTTACAGTTTGAGGTGAGAACGGACAAGCGATGACAAGCGAATCTCACATAATCATCCGTGTTGGAGACATGCGGCGTTTGCGTATCCTCGACAACGACGGAAAGCACAATCCTTCACCACAAGACCCACCAATCGCGCACACAGAGCATCAGGAGCACTCTTGTAGCGTGAGTCGGCAACTTCTGGATTCCTCAGTAGCTTGTCAACCGACAATGGCTGCACCAAACTGATACGTTAGCTTGTGAAAGTGGTTGTGGTCGTGCTCTTTGCATTGCATGAGCCGAAATCTCTTTGTAGACTCTGCTGTCGCGACAGTCTGACGAAGCCTGAATGGTATCAGGCCCTCCGTGCCAACGCAACAGATGTCCAAGCGGCAGCAGAAGAAGCAGGCAAGCTGAGGTCAACTATTCAATGATGTTGCATTGCTTCTCGGCATGGAGCCCATGTGTTTGGAGGTGTTGCGGGATGCACGCCTAGAGCGGAAAGGCCAGAAAAAGTCTCAGAAACAGGCTCGGCACTGCATTTCCGGTGTGCATTGTGTGCCTCATTGAGCCTCCACGTCGATGCTTCGCTGCTTCGTCTCAGGTTGACGCCTTGGCTTCTGCCCTTGCCATCCTGCATGACCATTTGGCGGAGCATCTGGGACGCGAGCCAGAAAGAGAAACCAATGAAGGTCCATCCCATGATCAAAGGAAGGTTTTGGAGGTCTTGCTCGAAACTACCTTCGGGGAGCGATGCTCCACTTACGCGAGCCTGCCCTTGGTGCATGGGCCATGCACAGACCACAAGGAAGACCACTCGAAGGGCTTAGAGGAAGGACGGAATGGGTACAGTGCGACCCATGATGGGCTACGGGTGTTGGGTTCCTGCCTCCTGCGGCCGCCGCGCTACAATGCCAAGTTCTTGCCGCAGGAATATTCGCTCCTTCACAAGGTGTGGAGCCTGTTTCGTGGGGAAGGGATGAGCAACTGTGGAGTGCTTGACATTGGAGCCGGCAATGCCAACTGTGCGGTTCTGATCGCAGCACTGCTTGGGTTGACCGTGATCTGTGTCGAGCGCGAGTCTCCCAGGAAGGAGCTGCGGGCAGAAGAGCAACTGCCAGAAGCCTTGAAGCGCAAAGTGATCCGCATCGAAAAGGACATCGAAGACTTTGACATCGCCACTTTGCAAAGTCTCGCATCCCGTCACAACTTAAAGAGATTTGTGCTGCTGGCCAAGCACCCCTGTGGCATCGGTGTTGATCGATCGATCGACTGTGCTGTCAAGCTCCGGAAGTCCTCACGGGCCTCAATTCCGTCACTTCCATCACTTCGGGCAGAGCCACAAGAGACGCAGCACACGCAGCCCTCAGATCTGCCGCAGCTTCTGGGTGTTGTGATTGCATGTTGCTGCACGAACAAGCTAAGCCTGGACGACTTCAGGGAGTCAAGGGTGGAGGAGTTCTGCACCGCGAATGCCGCTGTGGATCCAGCCGGGCTACCTTCGAAAACTGATGCTTTAGTCAGAGCAGTTGAGGTGATGAGCAAGTGCAGCGCTTGGCGAAGTACCTCAGGCAGCCTGGGAAATGCCATCACCAGTGAGCAGGTGTCTTGGGTTTAGAGTTCACAACAGCGATCTGTGTCACATGAACAGAGAAGAGTGCTTTATGAGAGTGCTGTCGGTAAGAGTGAGGTACTCACAAGACACGCCTAGCGGCCTCAGGGGGTTATTAAAGGGGATCCAAGCTATCCCCTTTTGCTTCTCCCCCGTCAACAGCCCACTGCGGGGGTCCACCCAGAGTCCACCCGGAGTCCACCCGGAGTCCACCCGGAGTCCACCCGGAGTCCACCCGGAGTCCACCCCCTCTCCCCCTTGTTTGTGGCGGGGGGTGTGGGGGGGGGGGGGGGTGGGTGGCGAACATGGGCGAACCCTGAAAAAAGAGAGAATCTGGAATGAGAAGCTGATCTCGCATTCATGCACTTCATGCACTTGAGAAGCAAACTAGTCAGAGTTGCAAGGACGCAGGCACGGCAACTCATGCACTACCCGAGTCAAGACATGCTCACAGCTGCTCAAGGCATGCTGCAAGACTGTTGAAGATGTACTGCACGTGCAGCTATTTGCAGCTATCTGCAGCTATCTGCAGCTCAGGTGTCTTGGGCAGAGCTGTTCGAAGACCACTTGCAGTCCTTGCGGCTGAAGCGCTTGTCAGCGGAATTCGGCACCTCTGGTGAGGTACGGTTTGCCCCGCGAGAATGCACTCTTCAGGACAGATGCATCCTCGCCGCCGAGCCTCCACTACCTGATGCCATTTATGCTTCTTCAGATCCGGCCTTTCTCCTTCAACTTGAGAAAGGGGTCAGAGAACTCTTCAACGAGTCAGGCGGTCCATTGGACTGCAGGCCTAAGGGGCTCAAATCCGCGAAGTATGACTTCGATTACACAGACTGACCGCGACTGACCTCCGTCCTTCTGCCGAGCTCGCCTGTTGCATCAATCTGCTTGCCGCGATTCGCGACGAGACTGCGGGTCCCGCTGCAGTGCGTGCCGCTCTGCAATTTCAGATGACAGTAAGCTGGGATTGGAGGGGCACCAGAGCTGGGTTGGAACATGCTGTGCCGAGCTCCCACAGTCCTCAGTCTCCACGTCCTTGACGACTGCTTCACGACTCACGACCGTTCACGGCCCACGCTCTGCAGAAACGCCAGAACGCTCGATTGCTCCAAGCCCGCAGGCAACCGCCAGCGGTTTGGATCTGTTTTGCTGGGAAAAAGAAGGTTTGCCCCCCATGTTTGCCCTCCTGCACACCCTTGAGTGAAAAGGAGAGCACTGTGTGTAATATTGCGTAATTCAAATGTCTACTGTTGTTGGGCTGATCCCAGCCATTCCCAAGCTCAAGACAATGAGTTCTACAGATTCTACAGGTTCGCTAGTCCTGTGCTACTCATTGCCCGAGATCTCTTGTGTCTTCCTGCGCTGACCCCCAAATGCGAACGGACCCGAGACTATGCACGAATAGGTAATGATTTGATCACATGCTTTGAGACGTCATGTGCTTCTCAGCTGCGTAGGTGTAACGCAACAGAAAATGCCGCTATGGTCATGCGGTCCTCGTCTTCCGATTCTGAAAGTAACAAGCGACGCAGCCGGAGCCGCAGCCGCAGCCGCAGCCGGAATTCCCATCTGGAGCCGAGGGCTTGGTCTGGTCCAGACGAATCAATCTGTGAAAGTCGGTAGTGACTGCAGTGACTGATGACAGGCCGCGGCTACTGTGCTTCAAGTTTGAGCATCTAAGAGCTCTCAGGCAGGGGTTTCAGGGCTTCGTTGTCATGTGATGCTGACATGTGGCTGACAGGCTTGCCGCATTAGAAACGTGACTACGAAGCGTTGACCAGTGAATATCCAAGTTGAAGGCATAGCCGGCATAGCCCACATGCAGGATCCTGTAGGCCTTCCATGTTCTTTCTTACGTTCTTTTCATGTTCTGTTGCATGTTCTGATTCCTGACGGCAGAAGTCCTCCTGGGAGCTTTGAGGGCTCTGCTCTTCGCTAGTGAGAGGGATGTCAATGCTTGCAGCAACTCGACGCTTGGAGTTTAGCTGCGGCTCAAGACGCTTGCAGCTGTCTGTCAGAACTTGAAGCTTTTGCTTCACATGTCATTGCATGGCTTTTACAATCTTTGGAGCGGGCTGGAAAAGGTGCTCTGACTTGAGTTGAATGGGGGCAGGTCTCGAGAGATCCAGCGCAGCCTTGGTGCAGCGAGCTCCTGAGATGTCGTAATAGAGTGGTAGAGTTTCTCAACACAGCATGACTCAGCATGGATGCTTGAGTACAAAGGTGGTGGATGTTGCAGATTATTTGGGGGGACACATTCCCTTCAGAAGCAGGATGGAGGGAGAGAGGGAGAGAAGAGCATGCGCGAGACGACGGAGAGAGAAAGACAGGCCCTCAGACGATTGCACCTCGCTAATTTATAGGTACATAGTCACGAAATCCATCACGCCGTCCATCCATGCATCATCCATCCATGCATCAACGATAGCGAAGAATATTTTCGAAGACCATCTCCGCGGAAAAGCCCTCACCACGCTTTCGGGAGTGCCCAAGAAGAAGAAGAAGAAGAAGAAGCAGAAGAAGAAGAAGAGGCTGAAGAAGCCGAAGAAGGAGGAGGAGGAGGAGGAAGAAGAAGAACAACAACATGAACAATCAAAGTAAATGGAAGAAATAGAGCGACAACACCGACAACAAAACCAGAACTGTGGGCTTTCAATGGCTTTCTGCCACTCTGTCACTCAGACAACCCCTCTCGCTGGACCTGGCGTGTCGTTGTGCTGGCGGGCGGGTGACGTTCGCGTTGTTGTCTGCGAATGACAACCCTCTCGGCACGTCGTTGCGCCGGGCGCATGGGTGCGCATCATCGAGGCTTCGTTTCTCCTTGGGCATTCCGGGGGGGAGCATCAGCAGCATCAGCGGCACCTTCCGGCCTTGTTTACTGCAGCCTGGGAAGCATTGCCACAACACAGTTCATGTCCTTTGCCCTGTGAAAAGCAGTCAGACCAAAGCGGCGCAGCCATGTTGTGCCCGCTCGAGGCCTTGCGCTGCCATGCCTCAGGAGTTGCTGAGATCAAGGAGACACCAGAGGCAAAGAAGGGGGCCTGTCAGTGGGTCCTCGGCTTCAGGATCTCGTGTTTGTGCTGCAGCTTTTCTGTAACTAAGTAACCAAGGCTATAGTTAGAGACTGGGCTTGCAATCATGGCCCACTTGGCAGTGTCTGTGAGTCTGTCGCACCCCACTGGCAATGGCCGACACAACAGCCAGAACCGCTGTTTGAAAGCAAGTTGTATGCCGATTCTGCCGCATTTGTTTGTATTCTGTACGACACATAATCTGATCTAGGCTTGTTGTGAATCGACGCCTCAGTAACATTCACGTGACATCGTGCCGCGTGGTGCTGAGTGCTACTCAGAGAGCCAGCGGTCTTTCAGGGCTGTACTCTCGAGCCACCATCAGATGGCAACTGGCGGCAACCTCAAAGAGCCGGTTTGAGAGCCTGCTTGAGTACCTGTGCTGGCTGGGGACTTCCTTTCGGGATTCAATTTCAATCTTCTCATAGCCGAGGCCTTCGTCGGACATGCCTGCAGACGGCACAACTGCACCATTTGTTTGTTGTCGGCAGCTGGACTTGGCATCGTTGCAGGTGCAGTCAGCTCAGACAACGAGGCTAGGTTGCCGAACGCATGATCTGGCTATTCACTTTGTCTCTATTCGTCCATGTTCGCTGGCACCAAGAAACTGTTTGCAGAGCGTTTGCAGGCAAGATCTGGCTCCGAGGAACGATTTCGGGAGGCAATTGTCACGCGTGGTCATTGGGGTGTTGTCTTCAGAAGCATGTTCACGTGCCAGAAGCGGCGGTCCAACGTGGATGACGAACGCCGCTAGTCCTCAAGATCTCAGCTTGCATTGTCACGCTTTTGCGCTGTTCAAGTTGCCGAGTTGGAGACCAGTGGCCCAAGCATTTACACCCACCTGCTGTGCAATACCGCCTGGAACGCCGGGGAGGGTGGACACAATTGCCAGCTGCGCCTCTGGGCGACTCCTCACAACCCTTCTTGGCTGCAAGTCTCAGGAGCAGCCCTAGAACCCCATAGTCGGTGATGTTATTTTATTCTTTTTCGCTCAATTGCCTCTGCTCCCATTCATTCTTCTCATTTCTTATCTCCAACGGTCTTCTCGTTCTCTTGTGCTCTCCCTCTTCCCTCCTCTCCGCTCTCGCTGTCCGCATGTTGCCCTGTCGTGTTGAGATCACTGGCCATGGGTTCTCTCAGTTCTGGCATGTTCTGTCAGCGATGTGCGATAAGAGGCTTTAAACCGTTCAAGGCCGCCTAATTCAAGGAACGCGCTTTTTCTGCATCCAGCTGAGGAGCTTCCAACTCGGAGGCCTGTGAGGTTGCAAAACAAAATTTGTAACACTGTAGCACAGGACCGTCATGGAACGTCCAGAGCATGATCTTCGCCTAGCTTTCCGCTGTGCATGGGGACAGTACACTGCTTCACGCGCTGAGTTTCCGATTCGTCACATGCTGCATGTTTCTGGCGTTCTTCACAGCTTTTTTGAGCACTGCTGTAGTAGGATGTTGGTGATCTGTCATACTTTGGCAGCACTTGCATGGGGCAGGTCTGTGCTCTGCGTGCCCTTGGTCACCCGAGCAGGGTCCAAGTCAACCATGTGCGCGGACTCTCAGTGACTCAGTTCCGTCCTGTTTCTATTGCAGCATGGTTCGAGCCCCTGGGGTCCACAGGTGCAAGCAGCTACTGGCTTCGAATTCCAACCTTCAAGTTGTCGAGGTAGCCACTTCGGACCCGTCGGCTCTGTGACCCTTCAAAATTCAAGATCCTAATCTGAGCTTCTGAGACATAGCGCCCCCCCACGTTTAAAGACTTTTTTGGCCCGAAATCATTCCAGCCTGAGCTACCCCTGACAGGGCGTAATAGCAAGCCACAGGCTATTGAGCTGGAGCCTGAGGCCTGCAGCATACAGAAGTTGGAGCTTGGAGTTTAGCTCCAGGCTACCACCACTACTAATACTGCTTACTATTACTACTACTACTACTACTACTACTACTACTACTACTACTACTACTACTACTACTACTACTACTACTACTACTACTACTACTACTAGTACTACTAGTACTACTACTACTGCTACTACTGCTACTACTGCTACTACTGCTACTACTACTACTACTACTACTACTACAACTACAACTACAAAACCTACTACCGCTACATACCACTACCACTACCACTACCACTTCCGCTGCTACTACCATTACGACGACGACGACGACGACGACGACTACTACTACTACTACTACTACTATTACTACTACTACTACTACTACTACTACTACTACTACTACTACTACTACTACTACTACTACTACTACTACTACTACTACTACTACTACTACAACGACAACGACAACGACGACGACGACGACGACGACGACGACGACGACGACGACGACGACGACGACGACGACGACGACACCACTATACCACTATACCACTATACCACTATACCACTATACCACTATACGACTATACCACTATACCACTATACCACTATACCACTATCACTACCACCACGGCGGCGACGACGAGTAGTTCTTCCACCTGGCACTATCTAGTTTGTCTTGCGGTGGGGGACCTTTTCTTTTGTAAGTTTGGGGGGGCCTATTAGTCAGAAGCTCGGATTATCCAACACTTTTGATGTTCGAGAGAGATTGCAACTAATTAGTCAGGAATGGGCCTGATCCAGAGGTACCTCATTTGTTCTTCCGAATCCAAGCTTGCGGTTGCCGAAGCTCTGGTGAGAGATGGTCATGGCGTGCGCCCAGTCACGGAGGCTGGCGAAGGCAAAGGCTTGAATCTCCCAAAATCTCCCG